TTAAAATATTAAGTTGAGACATGTCTCTTCCATACACATAATTTTCGTAATACCCCACTACACCCCGCGTTTACAATGTCATACACCCGACAACAATAATGAGACACAATTCAATATGTCTCGACGGCGACGATGGAACAGCGATTACGGTTTAAATAAGATATAAATAAAATTGTACATAATATCATTGATTATAAATACTATATAGTTTTTATAATCAATATTAATATATTAGCCACACTCGTTATATATTTTTCACACAGACACCGTAGAGATGAATCAGAGTAAACAGCGTTTTATTTATAACATTATGAAGAAATAAAATAATTATGTAGTATAGTAGCATATAATAAACAACTAATTTTTAAAATTAAATTATTTTATATTTTTAGATAGACAATGTTTCATTGTTCAATGCGTCGCCACTGCGTCGAATATAGTAAAAAAAAATCTTATGATTTACACACAGAAAATTAAAATCGGATGCTAAAAATCATCAAAAAATTCGTTAAATATGCATTATGATGATAACTTTTAAAGAATACGTCATAAACACCTAAGGAGTAGTACATTTATTTCTCCAAAGACCGAGCTGTGATTTAAAATATTTTTATTATTCGTTATGAAGACGGATTCATCGTGTCTTAAAACTTTCAAACAAATAAATTTAATAATTAAATGCGCATAATAAAATCCAATTATCAATTTATTTAGACTTGAAATGCTTTACTATACTATTTACTGAATTGACTTGGTGTATACATTAAATTATATATCGTAATTTATAAATTAAAATATATAAATTTATATATTATTAAAATATTACTCGTATATTTATTATAATTATAAATGATAAATTTTATCATATTATATTATAATATATTGTAAGATAATTTATAAATAAAAAAAAAAAAAAAAAGAACCATTAACTATACATTTAATAAAAAAGTACTTATCGAATGTAGTTATTTGTACTGTAAGATTATAACGAATTTAATAAGTTATTACTTTTTATTATACTCTTATATACAGTCTGGTCACGATAAATCAACAAGACGATTCCGAAAGGAAATAAAAAACAGATTTGATTTTTCAAGATTAAATTATACTATGGTGCATAAATATTTTATAGGTTCATCAATATATTGGAATTTAAGTTGTTGCAAAACTACATTAATCCAATATTTATTTTATAGTATATAAACACGTATTAAATGTTGTAATAATACATCTCTCTTGGCAGTGAAAATATTTTTATTTTATTATATAATATATCATTCTATACATTATTTGTATTTCATCTAATTTGTTATTCAAGTAATTTGCATGTGTTTCATATACGTTTATTTATTTATAAACATGATTCTATAAAAGTATAACAACATGGTGAGCTTTAAATTCAATATATTAGAATCCTTATAAGCTCTATTTTCGTTCGTCTATTAAAGTTTTATTGGAATCAAAATCACCTTTTATTGCGGAGCTATAGCGTTTCCGACGGCTTAGGATTATCCCACAAATCTCATGTCAACTATACGCTTAAATACATACCTAGTAAACTAATGATTTTGTCGATAAAAACCTGACAAACGTATAAGAAGGTTGCTAAGATATAAAATCGAATAATAATAAAATACTCGGTTAAAATATAATGAAGGTGGTTTTTTACCGAACAACATTAAAATTTTTATCAGTAACTGTATACTTTTCGCGCAAAATTCTGGGTATAATGGATGTTGATTTTTTAATACGTGCAATATAGCAGTAAATTTGATAAATAGAAAAAACGCACCACTTTTAATACGTTATATAACCACGAAATTAATGGGTAAAGTTTTAGAAGTGATAAAATATAAAGACATGACTAAGTGGGTAATCGTAAAAAAAATACCTAAATGAAGTATTTGAACCACAATATTCAGCATCATCTTTAAAATTACAAATAAATTCTATAAAAATGAACAACGGAAAACCTGTAAATTCTTACACAGATATAATAGAGCTCTATGAATGATATAACATATATACAGTTAATAATTCAAATATGACACTAAAATCATCCAAACGCAAAAAAATGAATTTAAGTTATAAAAGTTGTAGTAAAATCAAGGAATCCAAAAACATTAGAAGATGTAAAATGTGTAGCTAATACAGAAGAATTAAAATTTCACGCAGAAAAAGAAACACAAAATGTATTCAATGCTAATAGACGTCATAAATATTATAACTATTATAATGGTAGTAATAATAATGCTAACCAACCAAATTATAATAATCGTAACAAAAATAATTGTAATAACAATTTTAATAATAAACCTATTTAATGTTATAAATGAAATGGACCGCACTTAATTAGTTAATATAAAGCGTATCAAGTCCAAACGTTCAAACCAACGAATACCGAGAAGGTTACTATTTATAAAAATAATTTAAAAGTAAGTATATCACATTGATTAAAATAAGTTAACAAACATTTTACAAATAATTTTATATCAGTTTAAATTAATAAACATTATAATTATTTATTAAGAAAAATAAAGAAATAATTAAATGCGAAAGTTTTTTTTATATATATAAATTCAACAACTAGGTAATTAAAATAAAATTATTTATCAAGTACGGAGCTATTGAATTGACTACTTAACTCAGGTAATCGATATTTTTACGTATTTCATTGGCCCCAAGATTTATGCATTGAGTTAGCTCCCTCAACATTTATTTTCTAAATCCATTGGTAATATAAATTGTTCGAAAATAAAATCAACAATATATTAAAACAATTTAAAATATAAATATTATATTTTGTTGTTCATGAACATTTTTCTAAATTATAATTTATCAATATAAAGTAAAATAATTTAAAATATAAATATAAAAAAATCAATTTATCATTTAATGCGTTATTCAGCACTGGGTTGTTAAAAATATTAAAGTCACGTACTTTTTCAACTTTTATGTTATGAGGACCACTTGTTCAATATTATATTGGGAGCCAATTTAATACTGCGTTTCTTGGGAGTCAATTCAATGTTATATGGGGACTTTATCTAGATACTTTATCTAGTATTGGGAGCCATTTGATAGTCGCCACCAAGTAAACGTAGACGAAGAAAAAGTATCCATTAATTATTCATTAAGTTAAAAATTTAAATGTATTACTAATATTGTGTAACTGATTACAATGTTACGTGACAAGTGGTTGACTCAACAATGTAATAATGTTATGTGTCAGTTATAGTATTCAATACAGAATAAAGAAACTAGTTACTACGTAAAATAAATCAACATGAATAATTTAATATTAAAAGGTAGATGATGTTAACAGATAAAGTTTCTATACAGGATGGTTGGCAATGCCGAAAGGGAGTGGTATGAGGGGTATGAGGGGTCGTAACACCCCGTCATCGGATAATCGTAATGAAAGTCGGCACTGTCGGCAAACGGTTTTTTTTTTTTTTTTGACAAAATAACCTATTTGTTTTATTTACAACTAGCTAAATTACTTGTCGTTGCCGGGTTTATTTATAAAAATCTATGTAACCTAGCAAGATTAAATTTTGTTTAACCTATTGAAATTTAAATTAATTATGATTATTGAAATAACATTTTATTTATACATATTAATTTAGTTTTTATGATAATATTTATTATCATAACCCATCGGTTCCCAAAATGTGCGCCGCGATGTCTGTACAAGGACGCCGCGCCATTATGAATTACTATCGACTATAACATTTTCCTTATGATTATTCATGCTATGGTTTGGAGAAGGGCACCCTGAACAAACCATAGATCAAAAAAGGTGCCGTGAGTCAAAAAAATTTGGGAAGCACTGTGATATAACCTATTCTATAAGTTATAGTTTTTAGCGACCATAGCTTTGGTGATGATAAGTTTTAGCAATGAAGGTTTAAAATAAATGTTTTACTAATAGTTTTTCAAAATTTTATCTAAAAGATTTCTCTATAGACAATATTCTTCGCTGATCTATAAGTAGGTGACAAAATAACCAAGCTACTGAGTGAGTTTACACGTGAGCAAGCTACGTAGAACTGCCCATGTGAAAAACAGTTTTCTTACAAATCTATTCCTGCAAATTTGAGAGGTTGGCCTTGAGACTTAAGAATCGTTTAAATTCGAACGGAAGATCATTCAGAATTAAAGGGATTCGTGGTACAAACACAATTTCCCCTTTTGCACATCCAGTTAAAACTGTGGCTTTTACTATATTGCGATGTAAAGTGTTGACTTTAAGCCTGGTCCCATTGCACAGTTTAGGTGGTTTCAAATTTCGTAACAACATAATAGATGTGCCCACACGCAGAATAAGTCTATGATGTGGCATACCCGGTGGTTTCAATGAATTTAAAAATTCAACCAGATAATTAGTTTCATCGACTACGATGACCATTGCCGTATCTATCGAAGTATATACTTTTTTTAAAGACATCAACAGTGACATCATTGATAGCCGCCGCTTGGTCATTTTTTGAAGTGAGTATAGTACGTTCACACAACCATTCTATAGGCTTATCATGAATATAAGTAATATCTGGATAAATTTTTGATATTAAATCCTGAACCGTAGTTACAACTGTGCACAAATTTTCTGGGATAGTTATCATTTCATTAACTGATGGATAATCACCATTGCCAATTTCAAGTAAAAGATCTGCAAATCTACCTGAAAACTTTTCTTCTTCCAAGTATACCCTCATATTTTTCGACAGTTTGAGTATATAAATCTGAGGCCACAAAGTAGATCTTTTAAGACATAACTTCATCAGTTCTGGTCCTTTTTGGTACTACTGGTAAAGTCTGCCTAAAGTCTTCAGCCCACAAAGCCGTTCACCAGCCATTAACCTTTTATTTCCTCTTATATCCTTTAGATATCTATTTAAAGCTTCAACACCACCCTTATGTTCCATTGTAATTTCGTCCCTTACAATTATTTTTGTATTTTTTAAAACTTCCGCAAAATTACTTTGTTTTAATATATTTCAAACGGAAGTGACCGAAGATGTTAGATTGAGTGTTAGTTTGAAGGTAGCATGGGCAGTTCGACCACCCTCGAGCTGTGTAGCTGCGATTTCAGAAGATGCTACAGCTAAGGCAATGTCGCGAGTACTTCTAACTTTCGCTAAAATCAAATTGATTAAGAAAGTTTTTCTTTTTTTTAAAAAAAAAACTTAACTCCCATGGGGTTGAATTTTAAAAAATCCATTATTAATAGATGTCTACATTGTAAAACAAAACATTTATATGCATATATAAACAATACATTTCATTCTTATAGCTTCAGTGGTTTTGGCTAGGTGATTTTTCCCATACTTACACTTTTTAACCCTTTTAACACTCTTAGGGGTCGAATTTTGAAAAATCCTTTCTTACGGATGTCTACATCATGCAACGAATCTACTGACCAAATTTCATACTCATAGATTCAACGGTTCCGGCTTTTTTCTATTTTTACACTTTTCTACCATTTAGGGGTTGAAATTCAAAAAATAAAGTTTATAGAAAAAGTTTATTTGTTTTACAGAGAAGGTATACTTAATTTTAAAAAATCAGAACAAAAAAAAAAAAACGTTTTAAATTTTTATCTCTTTTACTCTTTTTAACCAATTTTTGAATTTCTAAAAATCTTTTCTTAGTACACTCCTAAATTATAATAGCTATTTGTATGCTAAATTTCAGCCCGATCCGTTCAATGGTTTGAGCTGTGCGTTGATTGCACAATCAGTAAGCTTACTGTTTTATATATACAGAAGAATAAGAAGAAGATTAAGGTTATTTCAATAATCTTAATTAATTTAAATTTCAATAAATTAAACAAAATTTAATCTTGCCAGGTTACATATATTTATATACTTAAACCAGGCAACAAAGGGTAATTCAGCTAGTAATAATAATAAAATAATACCCCGAAATTGCTGTAGCTGTAAAGTAAGATTATTATTCGATAATGCAATTTGTATAATTGATCTAGTCAGTGTTTTCTATACAACTCATAAATAATAATATAGCCACGGAACAATTCATATCTACATGCTGATAAAATACACACACAAAAAAAAGGGTCACAGTACAGGTAGATGGAAACCCTCTGGCTGTATCGTATTTCCCGTAATCGGTCGACTGCTATTATTATTATTATATGAATATAGATACAAAAATTACACGTAAAAAATTATTTTTACCGATTTCAGCTCTTTAAAATCAAAATTTCGAAAAATCCTTTCTTAGCGGATGCCTAAGCCATAATAGTTATCTGTATGCCAAATTTCAGTCCAATCCGTCCAATGATTTGAGCTGTACGTTGATCGATCAGTCAATCAGCTTACTGTTTTATATATACAGATTAATAAAAATTAAACTTTTTTAAAAACATTTAAATTATAAAATATAATAGTTCCTATATCAGTTGACAATTGATTATTGATATAAATAAAATATGTACATTTAAAATGGCTCATGTCTATTTTTAAAACTGTTAGTATAAACTGATAAATCTATACTGATATCTCTTGTACCTATCTCATACACTCATCCACTACACACAACGCACCGCCAATCATTACATGTATTCGTCATTCTATCGTATGTGAGTACGTACTAGGTACTGAAGACTGAAGTAATATAATATATAGATTAGTCATTACATTAGGTATTATTATATTTTTCACTTTTTATTTCAATTTATAAATTATAATGGAAAATAAAAGGAAAATAATTAAACTTGAGTGCCTTAAGTGTGGTGGTCTATTTATTACAGATTATCGTGCTAAACATGATCGTCAGCAACACGATGGGAAACGAGTTGCAGTAAAACATTTCGGAGCACCGGAAAATCTATCCGAAGCTTTAAAATATTTACATATATACAATACAATATTTACAATATTTACCAACTGTAAGTTAGCTTAAAATAAAATGTATTTATTAAGTACCTACATAGGAAATAGTATTTTAATTTTACTTATTTTTTTTCAAATGATAGGAAATCAGCACAAGTTCTACTACATAAAATATTCAAAACATTGAAAAAAATAATGTTGATACATGCGCATTTGTTAAAAAAGAACTAAGTCAATTAGAATTACGAAAATAAACTTTTTTATATATGATTACGATATAATAATGTAGATTTTTTTTAAATAAATTTTAACAAAAAATTTTAAAAAAAATTAAGTAAATTTAAGTAAATTTAAATTTATATCTATTATTTCTTAATATAATAGAAAGGTATATATTTAATTTATTAATAGGTAACCAAAAATACCATAACATGCACAACTTATTTATTAGAAGAAGAAAATTGTTTCAGTGAAACTATAGAATATCTTTTGGATGTATTAGAAGTAAGTTATTTTTATTTTTTAGTAATTAAACATATGGCTAGTGTTTATAAAAGAAACGTTTTAAGAACGTTTAAGAAAGGGTTAACCCTTTCAGACCCAGTGTCCTCTTTAAGAGACATTATTATATTAAGAGAGACATATTATTACATTTATTACAACACCTGTGATGATGTATTATATTTTATAGTCAATTATATATTGAGTTTAAAAGAAAAGTACTGAAAAAATCAGAAAATAGTGCTATAAATGATTTTGCATTTGAATCCTTAGAAATATATACATTCTTATTTAATATTATTTCGAAGTTATTAATTTCTCGGAAATGGTATAGGTATATAAATGTTCATAAATTAATAACCGATAATGATAATGATAATACATTTTTTTTCTCGTTCATCAACAATTACCTAAGTTAGTGGTTCCCATACCATACCCATTCCCTAACCGGTGTGTCGCGAGCGCCCTTTAAATGTGCCGCGATAAATCTATAAATAGAGTAAGGATCCGTAAATTTTGTTACTAAGTCAAAAGTCTAGGTACAACGGTATTATAAAGGGAAAACGAAAATAAATAAATTACTCACTTTTTACTTTTTCAAACGTCATTCATTAGTATTCACTATTCAGTATAGTAGTAGTATAGAACTTAAACATACCACCTACCATTAATATCGTAAGTCTGTAAATTAAGTAAATTTGAAAAAAATGGTTATTCAACGGTGAATTACATAAATAACAATAAAATAATGTATTTAGAGCAGTGTGATAAATTTATAAACACAAAATTCTCAATGATACAGATTCTTATTTTTGATGATTGGTATTAGTTAAGTTTTTTTTTTTGAGGTTAGAATCCTAATTAAAAATGCTTTTTATCAGCCATAATTCTTATTAGGGGGAACAACTATCCCCATCCCGTATTTACCAGCTTATTACGGATATTCGAGATGAAAACTGATCGAACTAATCGTAAATACATATAATATTATTTATTATAAGTATGCCTGTCGCAGCCATCTCAATCGATCGATTATATTAAAATATTTCACAATAAATAACCCTCTAATAGAGTAGACTGTAAATAGAATACATATATATATATGAAACATGGTTCACATAATATATGGATTCGTGTGCCGCAAAAATTTTGTTGAAGATAAAGTGTAACAATGCGTTAAAAAGGTTGAAAACCACTGACCTAAGTGTTTTGAACTCATCTCCACTCCAATCCACTTAATCAAACTATAATATTTTCTAGAAATTTTATAAAACTTGGTGCCTAGTGGAATTATTAATTTAATTTTTTTTCTTTTTACTTTTAAAAACATTTTAACAAAATACACATTTCTGCAGATACTTAATCAATAAATATAATGATAAATAAATATATACATATAACTAAATATATATTGCATTTGTTTTTAGACTAAACATGCATAACATGTATTTAATTTACAGGAAAAAATTATTTTAGAATTGTATTTGTAATTATTGCTCCGGCTTTAAATTATTTTCGAGTCGGCAAAGATGGTATTTAGAGTCGGCAATTTTGGTATGACACCTCCCCGTCAAATTTTTTTTTGTGCCGGCCCTGATGGCTAAATATATTTTAATTCGGTGTTGATTCGAATCCCTTATATACGCTGTTGAATGACTTTCTTGTTGGTCTGCCCTTATGATTTATTCGTCAACAAGTTGTTTTTTGCAATTTGCGCGTTTAATAGTGCATAGTTCAAGGCTTTGCGTTTCCACTTACATTATGTTTTTTTTTATTGTTGATTTGCATTTTACTATAGTGTTATAATACATAAAATGGATGACTTTAAATATGCGTTAATTTCGTTGGCTAGCGTTTATCGTGGTATTACTGGTAGTGTTTGGCGAAAATTACCTGCCAATAAAATGATTGCACCACCAAACCGGTTTTAGTCCTTGCAATGTGTGGTCTAATGTTTCCAAAGATTTTTTGTGTGCCATTCCACTCATCCCAAACTATTAATTCACTCTGCTGCAACACTTTGGCCATGACAGAATTTCTCGAAAGGTTGCAAGTTGGTATTATTATTTTTTTATTTAATTATTTACTTTTATTTTATGTTTATTTTATTTTATGTTTAGTTTTATGTTTGCAACTTATGTTTGTGCCCTTTTCTCTCCTGACATTAACAAATACAAAAAAAAAGAATTAGCGAAATCGATCCAACTGTTCATTAATGATGCCGTGACTAAGGAAAATAGGGATTCATTTATATAGATATATAGATATAGGGTTGATTTTTTTAAATTTCTTTGTTTCTCCCTAAAATATTTTCTTGTGAGATATTTGAAGTTTAATGTACTACAATATACTACGTTTTGGTGTATTTGGGGGGGAGGGTGTACCCAGATCTCGACTTCCCTCCCACAGAAGAAGAAAAGTTCAAAAGTTATAAATAACTTGATACGAAGGTAGAAAAAAAAGAACATTAACTTATATCATGTAGTTGTAAATAACTTCATTTGTATTTATTTTAATAATAGAATAGTATAATTGATAATTCATACCTTATTTGTATTTTTTATAATATTATAAAATCACTTATTTTTTAGAAAAATGTATCCTCTACAAAAAATTTAAAAATTCCCCTCTGGTACTGTATATTAATTTACTAATTATTTAATGTAATATATATATATATATATATTATCGTGCGTATCACGTAAAATTAATGAGGTTAGTTATGATATAGTCATAACTTTATGTGAAACAGTTGCATACATTTTGGGGGGAGGGAGGGGGA